GACTTCATAGTATTGTATTATGGTCACGTGTTCTGCATTTCACTTTAGTGTGTATATATATAAAGTCATTAAGTTTAAATGCAAAATCTTGTCCTTTACATACTGTGTTCACAACATTAAATCACTTGCTCAGTCCCTCAGAGTACAGGTGCCTCATATTAGCACAAGTTTCGGGGCTTACTACTAAGCATACAGATCAGTACTTTCAAGCATTTGCAACATACAGTAATTGCAAGTTTTTCTTAAAAATGTTTTTATTGAGATTTCCATCATCATAGCAAAAGAAACAACCTCCACCATACACAATCACACATTCACACAAACGTTTCAGATAAATGAATAGAGTAAAATTAATAGGAAAATAATAAATATAAAGGTGCTCTACAGTATATGTGCATTTTCTTTTCAGTCTGAGATACATGTTTTATTTTAGTTAGAAATATAAAATATCACTATACAATATAATATACACAATATAACTGCCATGTACTTAAAATCATAGAGGTGGAAAGAAAAAAAGGAAAGGAAATGCAAAGCAATTACTGTCAGAGTGTTGCAGTGTACTGTCTGTGTAAAGTGTGGTTTCATGCTATAAATATAGTTTTAGCTTACTGTACTTTTAGATAATCAAACTTAAAAGTGATATATAGGTTTGGTGTCTTGAATGAAAACAAACTTTGTGATCGATACAAAACAGAAAAATTAGACTGATGTAAAATCAGGATTTACTGCAGTGTAACATCAGACTCCAGACTTCATTATCAATATTTAGACTAATGCAGCACAATGAATAAATACAAGTGTTCAAAATGAAGTCTTACTGTACATAATCTTAAGTACTGAAATTCATGATATTACATTTTTATTTTAAAATGCAACAATGGTTAAAATTCAGGTGATAAACAGGTTGTGATGTTCTGATAAATGTTCCTTTGCCTGTGAGGCCATTTTTAGGGAGTATTGTTTTGTGATAACTGAGCCAAAGGTATTGTAAAATACTGTAAAATCTGTTCACCAACTACACAGAACAATGCAGACAAGATGAGCAGGAAGGAGTATTCAGGACATTTACTTTAGTAAAAGTAGCAGTACCACGGTGCACAAATCATCACAAGCTGCATTTGAGATTTGACTTATTTATGGAATAATTATTGTAAATACTTAGTATTATCAGCAAAATGTACCAAAGTGCCAAGTATTGCAGGATTTGTATTACTGATGCATTGTATTGTTGCTGCTGGTTGAGGTGATGCTTATGCCAAGTAATGTATATGGTTATTAATAATTTTGTAGAGACGAAACGATGTTGAGTAAAATTTTACATACATTATGATGATCTTATCCATAGCTGCCAAATAATTGCACAATACCTCTCTACCACTGCAGATGAGTTTTTGTATGAATAGTGGATAGAATCCAGGTTTGACATTTTGTTCTAGTGTTGTTACATGTCTGGTATGACAGTCATGTCCACTGAGATTGCACCTTTCAAACATCAAAGGTGTTTCGCAACACGAGATAAAGGCCAGTTGTCATTCAAAAACCGGTTTGTTCGCAAAAATCCAGTCTGCTGGCAGCAAAAGTTAAACCTGCATGATGATCCAAATCTCAGAGGCTGGAGAAGCAATTGTTCTTTGTGTTGTTAGAAGTACAAAAATGCATTCATAGCTGTTTGGGTTTATGCCATGTTAACAAGAAATGTTAAACAAGTCTATAAATAGCGGTGCTAGCAGCTAAGTCGTGCTTTGAGTTAAATGCTAACATGCTGATGTTGAAGGTATTATATTTATCATGTTCATCTTAATTTAGCGTGTAAGCATGCTAACATTTGCTTATTAGCACTAAATATCACATACATATGAGAATGATGGGAAAGTTATTAGTTTTGCAGGTATTTTGTCATAAATCAAAGTTATGGACAAATATAAATGCACTACAAACTGATTCAGGGGATCTTTAGTCATTACTTAAATATATATATTGTTGTGAAATAAAAAATCAAGTTCCGAGATACCGTTAGACTTTTTACTTGTAATTGTTATTTTATTGAGCTTGGATGACACACACATTATGCCTATTGATTCAATATACTATCATGACTTGTCAGAGTTTAACATTTTAAGTTAATCAAAAAATTCTTTAATTTTTAAGTTCTGTTAACGTAAAATACAATTTGATGACGTGTAAACGGCCCACAGTTTCCCTCTCCAGCATGTGCGGGCATGTTCAAGGCCAGACGAGTGACCACAGGGCCACAGCTGAAACACATTAAAGTGTAACATGGTGAATGGTAAGTAATTTTATGCTTAATTACACATATTTGCATTCGCTCATGATTCTGTTGGTGATAGCCTACTGTAACCGAATACCGAAATCTGGAAGTCCTTACTCTGAAATTTGAGCAGTGTTGATAGTACAGTCCGAGTGCAGAGGTAAAGTTAGCTAGTAGCTGTAGCCTGTCACTGATTGAGTAGGCTTAAATGCGGGAGTAATAGGTGGCCAGACAGCCAGGGAAAACGTCTTGGCAAGCTAACTTAATATGGGATTACCCATTGGCCACCGCTCCAGTTAGCATGTAGGATAGCTACATTTATAAACTACAAGTAGCTATGTTAGCCACTTGCAGAGATCAACTTAATTATTAAGTTCAAGTTCCTTAGAAATGTGGCCAAAAAGCTTCTTCACCTAACTTAAAACATTATGTTGGATCAACTTAAATACTTGCATTCATGTTGACAATTATTAAGTACATGTTACTTAGAAATGGTAATTCACCATACTCAAAATATTGCTTTGAATTAATGTAATTCTGCCATCAGTCTTAACGTTTTCCACTAGAATTTTTAAGTTAACAGATTTTTTTTTGTTGATCCAATGTTTTATTTTTTAGAGTGTACTATTTTAGTAATCAATTAATCGTTTTTGTTTTTGTACATTTTCTAGCTCAGTTACACACAAAATTGGGGAACACTTAAATCACACATCAGAGCTCGATGAAGGAAATGGCTCAAAATCTTTATCGTATAACTCGTGACCAAAATTACCTAAAAACGTTCAGTGGAAATCAAAATCACCAGCTGATTTAAAATCACACCGAAAATCAAAGTTATACATGTTTTTAATTTTTCATCACGGCGACTCATAATGTGACTCAGTAGTGTGTTCGGCCCCCACGGGCCTGTTTACACTCCCGACAACGTCTGGGCATGATCCCAATGAGATGGCAGATGGTGTCCTGGGGGATCTCCTCCCAGACTTGGATCAGTCAGCTCCTGGATAGTCTGCAGTACAACTTGGCGGCATCGGCTACACCAATACATAACATCCCAGAGGTTCTCAACTGGATTCAGGTCTGGGAATGTGAGGGCCAGTCAATAGCATTAATGTCTTCGTCATCCAGGAACTGCTTACACACTCTGGACCCATGACGACAGGCATTGTCCTGCACCAGGAGAAACCCCGGACCACTGCACCAGCAGAAAGTCAGATAACAGTTCTAATGATTTCCATGAGGGCCTCCCTCATGGAGTCTGTTCTGACAGTGTGGTCAGAAATATACACACCAGTAGACCACTGGAGGTCATTTTTTAGGACTCTGGCAGTGCACAAAGGAGCAGATACCGGTCCTACTACGGCTCTGTCCAGCTCTCCTCGTGTAACGGCCAGTCTCCTGGTATCTCCTCCATGCTCTTGAGACTGTGCTGGGAGACACAGCAAACCTTCTTGTGACAGCGCCATCCTGGAGGTGCTGGACTACCTGCGCTGCAGGTTTCCCCATGCTACCAGTAGTGACCAGGACACTAGCAAAACTTGAAACTAGAGAGCAATCAGTCAGGAGGAATGAGGAGAGAGTAACTGTCTGTGGCCACCACCTGCAGAACCATTCCCTTTTTGGGTATTGTCTTGCTGTTGCCTCTCCAGTGTACCTGTTGTCACATCAGATTTCGCTGATAAATCATGCTGATGTGCAATTGTTCATGCTACCTAACTGGACAGACTGATATCCCTGAAGTTTAATTGACTTGATGTTATATTGTGATGATTAGGTGTTCCCTTAATTAGTGTTGTAGTTCTCAAGACCGGTCTTGGTGTCAAGACCACTTTTTGATGGTCTTGGTCTCGTCTCGGACTCGACCGCATTTGTACTCGGTCTTGTCTCGGTCTCAGACATTGAGGACTCAGGATTTTATTTCAAGACCAGTCAAGACCACAACTTTGGGAACATCAAATTGCTATTGCATTGTCCGTATTGCTTCAAATGCAACCAATAACCGTTACCGTTAACGTCCCCCCACCCCGCGATGGTAAGATTATACTTATATTGATTTTAGCTCTAAGTGTTTGATGTGGGTGTTTTAATGGGAATGTAGATTTTTCAGATAAATTTGTGAAGGACCTATGATCTCATTCCACATTTTATTGTGTGTCATGTAATGTGGGGAACTGGTCTTGGTCTTGACTCTGTCTCGCTCTCCCACGGTCTTGGTCTTGACTTGGTCTCGGTTTGGGCGGTCTTGACTACAACACTACCCTTAATTTTTTAAACGGTGATAGTGAACTGAATTTCTTTGGGTTTAAGACTGCTGTTTGGACTAATTTAAGACGCAGGGATGCGGCGGACATCTTTTCACTATTTTGGATATTTAAGATACAAACAATTATTTGAAAAAATAATTAGCAAAGTAACGGATAATTAAAATAATTCTTAGTCTTTGGTTGAATAAAACAAGCAATATTAAAGACATCACCATGGAATATAACATTACAGGCATTTTTCACTTTTGTTTCTGACAAAAAGTTACTTATCCAGAAAATAATTGGCAAATTAAACAATAATGAAAGTAATTGTTAGCTGCCTAAAAGCCTTAAACAACAATCTCAGCGTGACGCTAGAGGAAAAGTTGGGATCACAAACAAAATTTAATGGCAATCCATCCAATAGTTGTTGAGACATGTGGCGACCGACTAACGTTGCACATTTAATCCAATAACAAGACTTGTTTCTTAAAAAGAAGTGTTTTAATTCAATTTTAACAAAGCCCAATACAGATTTGAAGCAAAACTGGGAAACACTGGTAAATCTCAATCCAATCATTATGTCTGGGGACACCCACAAAAAGATGAGCAAATAAAAAAATAAAAAATAAAAAAAAGAGACACCTAAAATAATCATACAACCCAGAATTGGGGCAGAGAAAATAACGGTGCATTTTGTCAAAGAACATTTTTGACAATTTGAAACAAAGTTCATGCCAGCAGCTGTTAGGGAGGTAAATAAAATCAGACTTCTAGTAAAACAAATGTCTGATATTATCTAGTAGACATGACAAAGAAGTGATAAAACCTAGGACAAATGACAGTTTCTATCAGTGAGCTAAGAATTTAATCTTGGATGAGTAATCTGACCAAATACATCTAAAATACATTGTAGTAGCTTGCTCAAGCTGCAGGACAGTTCTGCCATGGGGGTGTAAGAATAATAATACGCAAAGAAACTAAACACTAAGTGTTTCTGTGCTGGCTTTTTTTTTTTTTTTTCCCCTGTAGTCATAGTTCACGCAGCGTTTCTCTCAAAACGGTTGACATAATTGATTATCCACATTTCTTTTGACAGGAAGTGACACGAGTGGAGGCTTAGCTGTCGTCATAAACCTGTTTATACACATGTAGACAAAGAAGTTGTGCCATGACTAAATTTTGGTGTGGGACTAAAGTGTCATCTAAACTAATAAATGGCAAGTAGATCTAGGATTGTAAAATACATGCATTATTAAGACATTTTGTCATTCGAGTGATTTAATTTTTCACATCATTTAGACTTAACGAGGTTTTCCAATTGCTAGTTGTTTTTTCTCTAAAAGCTTAATCTAAAATATTTTTGATCATAATTACCAGTCCACTGGGTTTGTTCCTTGAATCACTTGAATCATTGGGCTTGTAATAAGCTAGAATAAAGACGAGGAAAGAAATGCATTTGAGCTGTGGCAAAATGTTTCTGTCATGGATTCCACTGGCACATGTTGTCCTCTTGAAACATGAAATTACAGACAGATCTGAAATGAGCTAATCCTCCTATGTAAACACAGTGATTTTCTGATACAGAAAAATACTAAGTGGACAACGTATATTGATCTTTAATAACAATATCCATCAGTTGAACACACCAGTCTGCTTTTGATATATTCTCATGTGGGAACATATATCTTATAACAAAATAAATCTATACTGTTGTGTTCGTGGTGATGGTTGACGACAGTTGTACAATCCCATCATGCCATTCTCTGAGTGCTCGACCTTTCTTTGTCCGTCTCAACAAAGAACTGCATGTATGCTTTGCTTAGCTCTGTAAGAAATAGTACTTGTGACTGAAGCAGCTCAAATACTCAAAAGGCTCTGCCTGAGAAGAACATTAGTTTGAAGCCAAAAAAAAAAAAAAAAAATAGGAAAGACACTAATAAAATACTCATCTTTTCCATCTTATACCAGTTGTTAAAATAAAGTGTATGTTGCTATTATTATCTTGGCATTTTGACAAAATATCCTCTTGGATATTTACACAGGAAAAGATACTTTTCAAGCAATAAAACAAGCTTATATTGTGGGTTGCATTAGAATAAAACACAATTCTGAAGAAATAATGGAGAAAGAATTGCATAGCAGATCAGAACAGAACTAAACAGGAACTGATCCTTTTTGGTATGGTGCACTTTGATTCACGACTTTTCACATATGTACACGAAATAGTCCATTCATAGTTTCACCTGCCCACAGTAAAGATCAAGTTTACTTCTGCGCTATAATGCTCAACAGTAAGAAGGCTCTCTGCTCTTCTGATAAAAGTCCATAGGAGTCTTTTAAAAAAAAAAAAAAAAATTAAACTTTGTTTAAAAAGTGCCATTTTGCTACATATATTAGCAGACCCCACGGTCTGCTACTCAACAGTTAACACAAGCGTATGTGTTACACAGCCCACCAACGTCTCACACAGCTTTCCTGATTCTATGAGTTTTGGTCACATGGACAATTCACACTCACTCACAGCCACATACACAGAAACACTTGTGCAGAAACACAGACACACACACACACACACACACACACAGATGACGTGAAAGGAAAAAACAAAAGTGGAAAAACAAAGTTGTGGCCGGTGGGTACAGTTCCATTTGAAGAGTTTATCTGCTGCGATTAGACATTCCCGGCTGGTAAAGCTTTGAAAACGAACAAGCACCGTTAGGAAAAGGCCTCAAATGTCCTCTGCTGGGGGAGGGTTCAGCAGTCTGCTTGATTCTGTGCTCCCACAAAAAGCAAAAGAGAAAAATGTACATTCAGACTCGCCTCAGCCTCATGGTCAGGCAAAGTCACTGAAATGTTTCAGGCTGTACGGCGCCTTTCTTTCCTCTGATTTCAAGTCTGACTTCGGCAAACGGAGCCTCTTCTTAATCATGGAGTCTGAGGACACGTATCTCCAACTCCCATGAGGCCTTTTCTTGTGTCCATGTGTGTATTTATCCGGGTCCTCACCGCCTCTGCTGGGCATAAACCGGGTACGCTAGCGTCACATTCAGAGAGTCATTGTGCTGGACCAAAGACGTGTGCTGGTAGTGGAGTACGAGTTCTTTTAACGAGCTGTACAGGTTGTACGGCTCGGCAAAGCCATAACCTGAGGGGGTCTTGTTGATGACGCAGTGCTTCACCTCGCCTTCCACTCTGCAAAGAGAAGACAACAGTCAATAAAAGTCTTCTTTCTGACCGCCCCTTTCTTTACAGACTAAACCGCTCGCTCTTTTCGAATATCTGGATCAGCTGTTAAAGGTAGGTTTTTACTTGCTGTAATCATTCCTCCTTGTTTTGTGCAAAAACATATTACAAACTTACCTGGAGCTAATGTCAGGCTTCAACAGTGAGAGTTAGACGAATCGAGTCAATATCTTATAAAGTATAAATTCTCCTCTTTGTGTTCCCCTGCTGGATACGAACAAGAAGAGGGAATTTTGTCCCCCAAAAAAAATTAACTTTAGAAGACATCGACTTGATTTGTTGAAGTCAAGTCAGAAGCACCACTGAAATTTTTAGGAAGCGATATTACTTTGCAGTATGAACAGGAGGAATGATTACAGCAGCGTTTACCTGACTATCATTTAAAGACCGAACCTATCCTCTAACGGCTGTGTGAAAAAAGCACGCAGGCTGATACATACACAACACTGCAGGCGTAGCATCCTGCTTTGCTGCTGTCTCGAACCAGGAATGTTCCGTCTCTCTTGCCCTGGAGGAGAGCCTCCGCCTGTAGTCGATTGATGTTGCCCAGTTTCCAGGATCGCTCGTCGTGATGAGGAAGGTCTTCGTCGTCGTCCACCATAGAGTATTGACTAGAAAATACAAAAGCGCACAAAAGTAAGTCGTGAGGTCAAAAGGCATTTGTGTCTCATGTCAGTGAATTTGTTGAAGTTAAAATGGATGCTCACTCTTCTGTGTTCTCGTTCTTGATACCGAGCCACTCGTTGAGTTTCTTCTGTCTGACTCCCTTCTGGGTCAACCACCTAACGAGAGAGGAGGAAACACGTGGACGTGAGAAACCAGGGCAGAGCCATTTTGAGTTTCTACAAAGGGAAGCTTTTAGTTTCTGAAGCAGCCACGGCACCGTACTTACATGAGATACTGATCTCTGGTCTTGCGGAGCTGGATGAGGTCGGGCTTGATGCTGTTCATCCTCTTGTCGATCTCTCTGTAGTCGGCCGCCTGTTTCTTCAGATCTTCCTCCAGTCGGCGCTTGCTGTCTACGATTTCACTTATTCGGGACTTTAACTTCTCGTAGTTGCCCATAATCCTGAAAGTGACAAAGAAGCATGAGTTTTGCACACAATTTAATTTTTATTATCCGCTTCTGTTGCATCTTTTACACAGCTGGTGTAAAAGTGTGGCACATTCTTACCTCTGGATCTCCTTGTCGTTGCCTTCTCTCCTGAACTTTTCAATGTACTCCTTGCTGTACCGCTCTTGTGTTTGGCACTGCTCCTCAAATATCTTTATAGTTTCATTAAAAGCCTCTATAGCCGTCCTTTTCATTTGGATTTCCTGGACGCAGGGGCACAGTATTAGTACATGTCGTATGAACACTGCAGTAACATTCTTGATCGCGTGTTTGGATGTGGATGGTACTCACTTGTGAAGTTCTGGTGTATTCTTCGTACAGGCGGTCGTACTCTTTGTTCTTCTCCTGGTACTGCTGGTGGTACTCGCAGAGCTTCCTCCCCACAGCTTCAATGTTGTCTTCTTTCACCACCTGATCCTGAAAAAATATTCACAACCGAGATAAGAAGTTGTGGTTAAATTGCTTAAACATAAGCAAATGCGTAAACGTGCGAGTTCAGATGAAGCGGCCGTCTGACCTGCTGGTGTTTGGAGACTGGATACAGCAGCTTGACATCTAGCTTGGGGTTGTACTGCGCCAGTGACTCGTTGCGATAGTGGTTGATGAGCTCAACGACAGAGCCGAATGTCAGAGGGTCTGAGAAGCCGTACTTCCCATCCCGATGGAATATCTTAATGAGCTTGTTGTTTCCTCCTTTCCTATAGAGGAAACCAAAAAATAGCAACAACACTGGTTAAAGAAACTGACAAAAATAAATACAAGATGGTTGACAAGAGGAAATGGTTTCAAAGTGAAAGGAGAAGGATGGCTTACCTCAGAGTCAGAGTGTAGTCTCCGTGCATTTTTGTAGATGCGTCTCGCACCAGAAACGTACCGTCCGCAGTGTCCCTCAGTTTCTCATTGACCTCCTCCCTTGAGATGTCTCCCCAGTACCATTCGGCGTCTTGTAGAGCCATGTTGTTGTTCATACCGTTGTTAGTCACAGATGTGGGCTTGGGTGGCTTCGGAGGTAGAGCTGTGGGAACAAGAGGAGCGAATACAGAATGTAAACAGACGTACTGCGATGTGATTGGAGCCTGTACGTGCTCGTGTTTACATTTTGAATTAAATGGATGATTTTCTGACCCGTTACGATTAACATTTATTTATTTTGTTTTTCCTTCTTTAAAGCTGCAGAAAATACAACACCAAATTTGAGATCCACTACACTATTTGAATCGATTTAATAATTTCAGGGGAATCAAGCTCTTTGCAGATGCTGGGAAACACACACACTAACTCTGACTCATCCTTTTTTTTTTTACCCATTGATTAAATAGGGATGAAAAAAACGCTGCCCTCTCCGACAGTGAGGGGGTTAATGCCAGGGCGGTGGGAGGGGAAAGGAAGCATGAGGGAGGGATGAGTCAGGGAGAATGAATTCCATTCAAGAAAAAGGAGATATCTATAAATATTCCAAGCTGCAAATACGGCAATACTGTTCCACCAGCAAGTTTATGGATTTCTTTAAAGAGGAAAACAAATATTTAAAATGCATTTTATAATAAAAAAAAAAAAAAACAGTAAAATTTATTATTGCAAAGCTCACCATAGAGTTTAATCGTTAAATGACCAGATTCTGTTAAGAAAATTATCATTCCCTCCGATCACTAAATCTCCTTTTCCTGTTGCAGCTTAAAAGTGGCACAAAGAGTCAGATTTGCATGACGTCTACTTGTGAAAATCAAGTGATGGACTCATCGGCGCAAGCAACAGCTTCTGTGGCTCTAAAAAGAAATCTTAAATCAGCAGTGGCAAGCAGACACTAGCTACAGCAGAGCTATTTTTAACCCACAAATCTGCGCTGCCTTTGTTCACTTCCTCTGCATTAACACCCTTTCTGCTAAAATGGACCTTGCAGGACTTTGCTCACTGAGACCGCCAGCACTGTTCATGGTTGCCAGACAACTACAATTGTGCAAAATGCCGCCTACCATTTTAACCACAGCACATGTTTCCGCTACACTTCTCAGCACGTCTGCCTTCTAATCAGATCACATTTCATCTCAGGATTACTAGAATTTTCTAATTCTAAAAAACACTCAAGTGGACTATCTAGTCTTGACAGTATCTTGGAAACAGCTCCACAGACTAAATTCTACAGAAAGACAGCTTGCATATTTGACTAACTCCAAAAACCTGCACAATAAACTGTTTTTTAATGTCCACCTTAACACCCATTTGAAAAAGCCATTAAGGGCAGCCTGCTCAGTAACGTGTTACATCACTTACCACAGCCAATCAGACAGGGGGTCTGTCACCAACCACTCCTGCATCTTTAATTTCCCGAGAGCGATGAGGTCATTCTGAAATCTTTTACCTCCCTGCTTCAATTCTTTACAACACCGCAGATAAAAGCGAAATCACTCATAACTCTCCCTGCAGCATCCAGCGGTATGTCCTAGTATGCGTCCATCTTAAAAGCCAACGTGCAGCATCTCTCCACTAGCAGAGGGGCGGGGAAGGACCGGCAGCCTGTTCCATGCTTTTCCTCTGTCATCCCCTCTCTCTCTGTCGAGCTTGGCTGCTCGCTCTCCTGCAGGTTTGCTCGGCCCCTCCTCTCTGCATGTGTCGTGCGGGGGTTTAGTCCGTCCCACTGCTGGCACTCAGACAAAGCCAGCTCTGCTGCAGCAGCACGTACGCAGCTAAATTATAATGCTTGGCCCAGTCAGTGGCACCCAGAGCTCTGAAATACGCCTGTAATCCCACAGCGTGACACTCGGCATGACAGAGATAGCTCCCTTGATTTCCTGAGTGAAATTAAAATAGACCTAGTTCTTGGTAAGGTATAAGGATTCAAGTGGAACGTCCTAGGTTCAGCTTAGGCGCAGCTAACCCTAACTCTTAAGAAGAACCTATACTGATTACATTACCTACAACTCAGTGTCCTGGAAAAATGTTTAACATGAGAGTGACTCATGACATGACTGTGACCTAAATTAAATGGAACTTTCTTTAAGAATTGTACAGAAAATCCATGATACGACAATAATTGTCTGTCTGGTTTAAAAATACTTGTTTGATTTAACATAAACTTGCCCTTCTCCACTGTGGCCATACACTAGCTGTAGAGAATATGTAAGGTCCAAACTGAAAATCTTCACTGAACTCTTAAGATTCATTAACTTGAGAGTAACGCAGAAGTATCTATGCGGTCAGTAGGAATAGCTCATAACTATACAGCATGAGCTGCAACTTTAGGCTAAACTGTTCGCTGACAGATATGACTGGAGGCTAAAAGAAAACAAAAACCTATTATTCTTGTTCGTCTTTTCTTAAGCTGTGGTACTTGTCTTATTCTACCCATGTGGCCCTTTTCGTTATAGCTTGAAGGCAGAAGCAGTACAAACACACTGTTCCACATTTGTGTGACAAAACTAGAAAAGTGTTTTTTTTCCCCCCTTTAAAACAAAAGATGTAGAGCTTTAAACTTACATTGCAAGTTGTGCATGTTTTGATGAGTCAACAATCTCTTCCTTATAGCTTCTCTTTTATTCCCAAAAGGTAAATTAAATCCAACAGAGTTACTTTCAAGTCCTCCAGTAAAGTTCCATTTCATAGTTTAGGCCACTGAGAAGCTGGATGTGGCTTTTTTTTTTAATTCTTAAAAAGGCTTTATGTGCTTCTTAACAAAATCCAGGTAATCCGCTCGACGTGAGGCAGGTGCAACATGCGACTGTCTGGCTGCTCAGTTCCTGCTGCGAGTGAGGTAAAGGGGTCTCTCTCTCTCTCTCTGTCTGTCTGTCAGGCCTGCTGCCGTGGAGGCAGGTAGTTAATGATTAGCAGTAGCTGCTCTGGTGTCAGTGCAGCCTGTTCTGAAAGCAGCCACTCGTGCCAGTACCTCTCTCTCTCTCCCCCGTCTCTCTGGTCACTCCCTTTCTTTCTGTTTGTAAAGGAGGAGGTGGGCGGGGGTGTTCAGTCTTATGATTAACTTGCAAAGTTTCAAATATTTGCTGAGGTGGGCACTTTGAGGTGGGGGGGGGAGGGGACATGTGGGGATCCAGGCAGAGGGAGAACGCAGGACGGGAGGAGAGTGGCCTTAGAAACTGGAAGCAGCTCTGAGTTAACAAGAAGCGCTCTGTGGAGCAGGCCGACTTTCCAGCCAACCAAATCTAAGTGGGCCTTTTGTCGCTTACTTAAAATAGGCACACAGTAACTGGGAGGACACACACACACACACACACACACACTCTTATCTGTATGAGACAGGTGACTGAAATCAGCTTGGCATGCCTGAACTTTGCTCTATGTTCACACATGTGTGTTAAAAGAAGTATAAAAAGGTATATCGGGGTTTGTGTCTCGCCCGCCTGCCGGGCCGCCCTTCAATCCATCACTCCATCCCACTGCCAAAGTGCTCCCGCAGGTGCAAATTACAGACAGCTGAGCATGGCCCATGCACAGGAACTTTATAAATAGACCTAACAGGTAATAAAATGTTTAAACAGCCACAGCCAGTCCTGGGCCTCTGGGCCAGCCAACGACAGAGCTTTTAACTAGACCTGTAAAAGCATAACTGTGCCACGCAATGCACCACGCACACACGCGCGCGCGCACACACACACACACACACACACACACACACACACAAAGCTACCTTCTTCTATGCAGACTACCACTGTACCGGCCATGAACAGTGACTTTGTGCAGCTCTGTTTGACATTTTACCACCTAATAACAAAACCAAACAGAAAAAATAAGTCCTGAGAAGGAAACCAGAATGTCAAATGAGATTTTATCAATTTTTGGCATTCATACCTAACCTAGTAATCATGTCCACCATGCACCTAACTTCAGAAGTCATACAGACACAAAATCAACAACTATTATAATAATTAAGATTTACTCTGTATCCAGCAAAGCCTTATTGAAACCTTGTGCAACATTTCATTTACTGTGAAACCAGAAAGTAGCTGCAGCTCTTCACTGTTCTGCAACAAAGATCAGGAAATGTCTTACACCTGTATCCACTGACCAGTACATGATAAAGTATTCTCAACTTGCTTTCGCCATACAAAGTCAGCATTTTACCTCCACTGTGTACCCAGTGGCCCTCTATAAATGCAGCAGTTGCAAGTCTCAACACCTTTCTTCAAGCTATTAATACTAGAGGTGTTTAGTTCATGTTCTGCAGCGCTGAGACCCTGCAGAACATACACTCATGTTCTCATGCATCAAGTAATTAAATGCACCACACATTCCTTACAAAACAGTAGAAATGCAATGCAAAAAAAAACAAACAAAAAAAACCAAACAGCATTTAAACCCTTTGTGGATGAAAAAAATTAAGTAGTTAACTACCTGGAGCTGTCTGACTTTCACTCCCTTCACTGGTCACCAGAATCTCAATGATCTTGATGTGAGCATCCAAGCTGGGTTCACAACTGTGGTGGTGCGGGGAGAGAAAAGGCAAGTTAAATAAAGTATGTTTTACAGCCTGCTCTAGTTGCTCTGTGCTGGTTTCAATCTGATGGTAATTCAGGCTTAGCTACTTTAATTGCACAGCACAGCTGGTAAGTAGAAAAGCTCCAACCTATATCTGTGTACAGCTGAAACCCATGAATGCTTGACAGACTTCGCTCCGACAGTGGGTGAGACTGCCTGAATGCGAGTGTCTGCAAATGTGCATGTTTGAGAGTCTGTGTGTCTCAGTATTGCATGATTGAGCCTGCACACTCGTCTGTCTGCTGCCTGAGTCCATCTTTGCAGGAGTGAGGCATGATGACACCGGCTGCTCAGACACCCACCTGGTAGCCTGTTGTCTGAAAAACACAGGGCTGAAGATCTCGCCCAGGGCTCTGGCGCTGAGCAGGTTCTTGGAGCTGTTTTGGCACACTCTAGCGAAATGCCTTAGAAGACACTGGAGTGTTAGCCAGTATTGGGGAGGCAAGCTTGGGGTGCTGGCAATGCAACGTAGCAGCTGGGTACATTCCGCAGGATTCACCACCTCTGTTGAAACAGATGAGAACGGCCGGGAGGTCAGTGAGGCAGATGTGAAAACTGATCCTGCGTCAAAGCTTAACTCAGTTGAAGATCAAGAAGCATAAACGAAAGCTGCGTCTTTAAAGAATGAAGAGGTGGAAAAAAAGCGTCATGTGCAGTTAGGGTTGGAAACCGCAGAGAGATTGTGTGGTTGACAATGAGTGTAAGGTACACTGACAGGTGATTGGCTGCTTAGAGATGCTAGAGATAAACCTACATGCTTGTTTTAGTTCCTATTAACCACATATATCCTGTTTCTGGCCATGTGACAGCAAGAGAATGCAGTGTGTGGTGTGAAAATTTTGTCTGTGCTTGCAACAGAGAAAGCAAGACAGACCAGGCATATGTTAAAAGAAAGTGACAAAATGCACTAATTACATCCTTTACTACATGCTTTTCTAAAAGTCTTGTATGTCCTAAAGGTCTCATTCTTTTATACAAGTCTTTTTTGAGGGCCAAAGGGTAATGACTGAGTCTTGTGGTTTTCTGTGCAAAGTACTCAATGTTCAGTAACAGCATGAGTGCATCACGTCAGCACTGTTTTAGGTTAGGTTCACAAATGATCACTGAATCTGTGCACCGGGTCGTCTGCTCTCACCTTTGGCAGTGTGGACCAGCTGAGCATATATTGCAGTGGGGATGATGGGCTGGGGGAGATCCTGCAGGTACCTGCGTAGACCGTCACACAGGACTGGAAGTTCTAACTGATCCAGTTCTGGTGAGGGAGAATCTGAAGTGCAAAACAACATGTGCTTAAAAACTCCTTCCTGCACAGTGAAATCTTTAATTACATGCTCATGTACAATCTGCAAAACTATATCATGCATATGGAGATGCAACCATGGACGCAGTATAGGCCTCCACAAACCATGTCCCTTTCTGTTATTTTGAACATACTGTACACGTACACATGCAAATCTTTCACCTCATTACATTAACTTGGTTTGTCATCACCACTTGCGTCAGACTTCCTCTTTTCTGTATTTGTCTCCCTCGCTTAACTTTTTGAAACATACAAGGCTTCGTATAGGTTGGGGTGATAAGAAAAGCTACTTACCACAATCAAAACACTGCCTGACTTCAAGTCCACCACCAGCAGTAAATGTTCGATATAAAGTGGGATTATCAAGACCTGCAAATAATCAGCCAGACACATTGTTACGTTACATTTGACTCATTTGGTTCTGTGTAACAGGTCACATTAGTCACACAGTCAAATGTGGTTTAAAAAAATAAATAAACACGTCAGTGTTAACAGTCAACATTAAAAACTCAAGTGCAGTCAAGGTGAGTGATATGAAGTTCCTCACCTTTCCTCTCAATAGCTTCAAGCAGTCCGGTGAGCAAGGGCGGAGCAGTCTCTGGAAGGGAAAACTGTTCCGTCAAGTCCAGCACACAGAAACCTGGAGGGGAAAACAGACTGTCAACAAAGGTGATTTCCAAAAGGATAAAAAAAAAAACAGGCTTAACTTGCATAAGTTACCAACCTAACCTGTCAGAGAGAAGTCAAAGATTTAGTTGTACAAAGTCTTTAGCAGTAGGGCTGCGATTTATTTATTATTCTCATTACAGACTCATCTTCAGATTATTTCCATATTAGTTGACTCATTATTTTTTCTATGACAAGTCAGGAAATTGTGAAAAACTAGAGGTGATGCAATCAAATTTCTTAATAAATATACTAGTTTATTATCACATAAGACAAAGAAAAGCATCACGTCCTAACAGATGAGCAGCACTAACTATGCAATGCTTGGTATTTTTACTAGACATAATTATCATTTTGTATCATGACGTCACAGTATATTATAGGGAATTCCTTTGAGGGATGACTGCAAATAATGATGAAAGAATAACACTAACAGAAATGCAAGTGATGCATGACGAAACACACCTAAGAGCAGTTTTTCCTCACACATGCATGCAAAATGTATAAGCATCTTCCATATAGTGAAAATACAAATGTGCTTTGTGTGAACAGTGACACAATCTTTACTAAGAGGATATTGTGTCATATTTCTGGTTGCTTTGATAATGGCTCTAAGGAGATTTCACTTGGGGCATTTCTTTCTGAGGTGAGTGGTGACAATGAAGAGGTTTATTTTGTACACTATTTAGGCAAGTTCCAATTTCATATCAGCAAATTCAATAGAGAGCAAATGCTGGCAAAAATTAGGGTGTGGCCAATAAAAAAATGACATTGTCTGCTAATAATCAGAAGTTGTGATAAATGTTCATGTGTGATTAAATTGCAAAGGCTGCAATTCATCTGAACCAGCAAAGGTTGATTAGGCACATGACTTACAAACTACTCAGAACTTCAAAGGGAAGCAGGTACGAGACCAAAGGACTGCCTTTAAAAGTAAAAAGGTGTGCATTTACAACAGCCTGATTGAAGAACAGGAGGTGCTGAGCACTGAAGTTGGGGTTTGGTGGACCAAGGAGCTAAGCAAATACCCTGTGATATGAGGTAAGCCAGGTCTGAGTTTTTTTACTCATGTTTCCTTTAGAACTTTGCATCCAGGTGTGGACATGAAAGGATGAAGGGGTTGGCAAGGATTTTATTTGGATTTGCAAAGGCGTAGTTCGAAAATGCACTTTTCTGAAAGGCTCAACTGTTCGACCCTCAAAATGCTGAAATACTATGAATGGAACCCTTTCTGGTGACCATATTTTTCTTTCTACCTTAAAAATAATTAAAGTTTTTGAATCAGGCATTAAAACGGGCCATCTACTTCTCCCCATTGATCCATGCACGCTTGTCATTACCAAGGAGCTACCCCACTTCCACCAAAGAGTGTTCAATCAGGCAAATAACGAACAACTTTATCCAAATCCACATCCTTTAGGCTGCCATGTTGTGTGTGAAGTAACGGGCTTGCCAAAGTCCTTCTAACCACAGAACACACAGAACTCCATGTAAGACAACTGGTCATCTGGAAGACATTATTGGAAATGCAAAGCTGGAGGGGGGTTTTCTCAGAAGCAGTGAACTCTGACATGGAACACCAGAGTTTCCCTAAATAGAGATCAAGACACGCAGTGCTGCCATCGCACACCTTGGAAGTGTAACCTTTCTCCCAGACAAGATATCTAACACAGATGCCATTCGGCAGCCAACCTCTTTCTGAGAAACTCAATTCACAACCTGAAGTAAATTTAAACGCCACCCAAATTCCCCGACTGCAAAATCCTGTGGTAGATTAGTAGATAACATTCCCGACAAACTTAACTCTTTATAAGATGCTTATAAATGTGGCATTTTGGAAACCGTTAACACTTTTAAAACTCAAAAGCAACAATACATAAGTTTAAGAGCATCTGCCTTGCATTTCTTCTTCTTCTTGCAATTCTTAAAAGTGATGCAAAGGTTTGTGTTTATTTACTGTGTCTGTGTCTGACCCATGAGTGACACAGGCCAGGCCGGAGATAGAGTTGCTTCTTGGTACTGTCAACGATGTGATAGTTTGGGCACCAATGGAATTGTATCGCATAGCAGATGAAATATGGCAGAAATGTTTCTAGCTATCAGTGATGATTTCTGAGTTGCTTTGGCATGGGATCAATCAGTCAACATGTAGACAGCTTCTAACCATGGAAACACACATAAAAAAATAAAAACACTTACGTTCATTTAACTAGATCACTAGATAGCTTTCACTGCTGTCGAGCAAACTGGTACAGCCAATTTTACCACATCTTTCAGAACTGTTTGCAAATGGCAGAAGAGATGAAAGTATTTTCTGCAAACCTCAGAGTGTATACTGTGAGTGCAGCTGAAACGCTGGTTAACTCTGGTGGGCTGTAAACATTCAGAAACACCAGCATTCGTAGCAAAATTATAATACCTCTTAATACCAGTTTGCAATGTCAATGCAAATCCTCTTTGTAATACTGCAGTGTTACTACAGTAATAACACAGTGTATTACTGCTGTCTTGCTCTGTTTAGAACAGCTGAGGAGCCTCACATGCGACTCAATGAAAGTTGGTTTCTGTGGCAAAATGGGAAAGGAGGGTAAGGAGACGGGGGCCCCTTGGACATGTCTCTGCAAGCCTGCATGTTTGGCAGACCTTCTCATGATATCCCAAAAGGCCTCTGCCAGTCAGTAGTCAGTTAGTGAACCGCAGGTTGAGGAAGCCGATGCAGCTGCTGCTGCGGGGTGTGTGTGTGTGTGTGTGTGTGTGTGTGTGTGTGTGTGTGTGTGTGTGTGTGTGTGTGGGGGACAATCTACCCGGCTGAAACGGTATGTCTGAGCCGAACAAACTGCAGACTGTGGGCAGGACAGGGCCGGGGCACCACGGAGGCACTAAAGATAGTACACACTTTAGATATATTTAGGAGGTCCTACTCAAGTAACCAGCATTTTCAGGTTATACCGTTTCTTCTTGTCTGAAAAAGGTCTAGCCGAGACACGCCAATGAAAATGAATAACCCACGGAAAGTACCACACCACACGTGACCACACATTATAGATGCACCAAGTGCATTACTTGTTACAATGCACAAAGATTTAAAGGTGGATTATCAGAACAGTATCATTTATGAAAAAAGGGTTCAGCTGATAACCATTATTCAGACCTTCAACAACATGAAACATCCAAGAAAAGCACAGATTTTTCATTGACATGTTTCCAAGTGAAATGCTTAACATGCTGTAACATGCTTGCTTGTGCTATAAATCAATGAAACATCCAGCTTTGAGCTGAAGGAAGTAAAAAAAAAGGGCAGGCAATGTCTCCTCCTGCAGGGTGGAAGATGCAGTGCAAATGCTAAGCAACAGCCAATGAGGAGACTGTTGCTACAGCCTGGCAATTAACCCTATACAGAGCAGACCATGTGTCAATCACAAACCCTACAAATTTCACCAGAGTATCCTGGTGTGCAATTAACTGTGAATCAGTATTATTCACACCACATAACATATAGAAAGTAATTACTACTTCAATACAATTTTGCACTCGTTTTTGCAAAGCACAACTCTCACAAATGATAAGGCCTCTTTAATCAAAAGGAAATGTTAGAGAGACAAGTAGCTGAAGCACAAATGTAATACCTGAAATATTGTCTGTTAGTTTGAATGCACGAGTTCACAAGGAGAGACCTGTGTTGTATTTAGAATCAAGACACACAGTCTTTAGTATTAGCTACATAATACAAGGATGATTCAACCAGTTACCACCTTCATCATATTTTCCTAGCTATTGTCATAATGCAGATTGATTTAAATGAAAATGTAAACACCTGGTCAAGTCTGCAGCTCCTGAATCTGTACAGTCAGATCTATGCAGACCAGTAAATTCCCAAAACACCCTAAAATATTAATTTTATACAAAATATCAATCATATTGCATTGAGACAGGCCTTTGACATGAAACATGACCTATTTTATGGTTCAAATCTTCTCTCTAATGCAATATTTATTAATGACACATCAAAATTGGTAAGACGATGCCATCGTCCATCGGCGATGGCTGACAGACATTGACACAGACAACACTGAGCCGGCATCGTGATTTTAAAACCCCCTCCACCCCAGCAAAAAATAATCTAAAATTTTCATGACCACTCTTATTGTTTTTAAGTATGCTTTGCACAGTCTGCCTCAGAATTCTCTTCTCCCAACACTCTGACACACTCACATACACCTACACATCAGGTAAACACCCCAGCTTGCCCCGCCTCTCTCTCCCCATTTTCTCCATCAGCAGGATGTTTTATAAAGTCGCCTAAAAGACTGAGAACTTGTCCCCCCCATACATTTCCACCCGCGATCCGTTATCACAGCAGCAGGTGAGCCGCAGGTCGGCTTATTAATGACACAACCTATCAAACAACTGAAACCAACACCTGCACCCTGTGTGTGTTCACTGCTGCTTTACCTGGTCCGTGCGTAAAATATCCACCGCGACTTGCAACACAAGTTAATAGTCTACCAATTTTTTTAACCGAGTGAAGTCTGTGCGAAAACACATGGCCATAAGTAGTGTGAGATGTACACAGAAAGGGTGTGCTGTGACTGCTCTTTGGTTTTGACTCTTAGCACACTGAGAGGTACAAGAAAGCTCTTAAGGGAAGTATTCTATTTTTAATAAAACTGACTGGCATTATGACCCAAAGTAGGAAAGTGATTTTCCAGTTGAGCTTTATAAAAAGGAACTTATGATCTTTTTCAAAGCATTATGTAATCCTCCCCTGCACGAGGCTCACAGAAACTACCTAGCTACACCAGCTAGTACACCTTGTCTCCTCCCTTTCTAATACATCACATATCTGACATAACTGTTCTGTTCCCCTTGAATTTTCGTTCCTCTCTAATCTTACTTCTGTGTTATTGCACCACTTCTTCAAGTATATGAGCCTGTCTCTCTCCCTCTCTCTCTTTCTTAATCCTGCTAGCAGACATGCTTGGACTCTAGTAAAGAAGATTTGCTAATTCAGACTTCAGTCTCTGCACACAATCAAGTAATGAAACAGTTATGCACGCTTTCATGCACACAATTCCACGCATTCTTGATGGATCCATCACAAAAAAATCGAATTACACTGATTTTATTGAGCCCTGAAATTACACCACTCCTCGTTTTTCTTAATTAGGACATATTTTCAGCAGTAGAGGATGTGTCACTAGTTTTAGATATCCACTCAAACTAGCTTTGCATATAGGTCAGCTGTGTGTTATAACCAGGTTACACGGTGATCTAAACCATAGATTATTAAAACATTTTTACAGTGCACCGGTTAGATGAAGAATTGTTTGAGTAAAACAAACCCTTGATAGGTCAAACTGATCTACAACTGTCATTAAAGTAATTTTTCATGCAAAACTGGCAAATACTCTTTCAATCCAGATTCTCAAATGTGAGGATTTGCTCATTTTCTTTGTCTTACATTTTGGAGGGTTGGTCATTAAAAATATAACATCTTGAGTTTTTGCAATGTTTTGATGTGCAGTTCTCACAGTTTTGACGTTTTACAGAAAAACGCGTAATCGGAAATTCAGATAATCGTTAGTTTGCAGCCCTAGTTATAGGCCTGTGTCTTATTGCACTTTCAATCAGCCAAACATCTATAATCAAGGTGAGCAATTCCTATTAACATGCTGTTGCTAGGATTTTAAGACAAGTCTGTGTTGTCGTTTTAGCGTGCGTTTGGGGAAACAAATAAGGTGGATAAAGAAAAGTTGACATTTAATAAACTGTCCTCTGTGACACACTCCCAATGTTGGAAACTATGACACGCCAAAATCCAGCTTGAGCATGACGTTCGCAGACAGAGGATTTGCGCAGCCACTCTCCTCACCTCTGACTAATGCTGGCAACATTACAAGCTGATAGATATAAAGCAACTAAAGCAAACAAATGTGACAAAACACCTCACAATAATTATAATATACCAATTCAAAAAGTAAATTTAACTTAAATTTTGCCTCATACCAGCAGCATCTACACTGGTAACAATGACAGTGTAAAAAAGCAATCGCTGGGGTCCTATTCAGTGTGCCACCATTTATTGTCCAGTTGCATTGTGCACCAAGTTACTGCAATCAGCACTTAGCACAATACTGATTCATCACAAAGCTACAAAATCAGTCTACCATGCAGTCTGTGTGCACCCCTACACCAAAGAAGCGCCAACACATTCCTGGGCCCAGCTGCCTTTAGTTCCACAGAGAGGAACACTACATCACAGCAAACTATCACGTTATAAAAAACTCTGCTGGGAGAAGTGAATTCTTAGAGAGGAAATTGACAGCACTGACAGAAAGGGTGTTCAATACAGCAGATGTCAGGCTGAGTACTAAAGAGGCCCAGAGAAGGAGAGCTACATTATCTCAGTCTCCAGCTATGCAGAGTTACTCTCCCTGCGACTGTCTCCTTTGTAAAGCCTGCTCTCTTCCTTCCAGTGGTCCTTTTTAAAATGTCTTTCTTTCACACATAGAAAGTGAACTACCGGATGTTCCATAGTTTCTCTGTTGCAAATATATGATAGCTCCACTACAAGTCTTAAAATTCACTTTTCGTACTTACTGGTGATAAAAAGAGTCAGTTTTTTTTTTAACAGAAAACAATCTTCTTGTTAAGTGTTTGTTTTTTAGTGAAATTAAAGTTGTTTGTAGTTGAATAAAATGTTAGTTACTTCAAAACTGAACTCAAAATGATCAGCCCCAGACGAGCAAGATGAGATGCCCGATGGCATCAAATATTTCCTTAAGCAAGACTGAGCTTGTAGGCTGCACCTTGTGAGAGCATGTACAGTAACAACCAGTTATTCACACTTATCTCAAACATGTGGAAGTATGTTCACTCAGACTGTTTGACGAGAAATAGCAATTATAAACACGCAACACATTTAACCACAGAGCCATCACCTTAGTTAATATCCGACATGGTCACTGAATCACACCATCATTACAAACAGCTACCAAGGATGACACTGTACTCCTGAACTGCAGGAAGCAGTTTGCTTTTTTAGCAACATAATGATTACACCAATTGATTCTTACTCAAGACACTGCCTGGCATGCATTAACTACGTTGAGAAATTTAATGTATAACTTCATGAAAGTTTTGAGAAATTGTGAGGATGAAATACATTTCGAAAAGTTTAATTTTCCCATCTTTGCATTTCATTCTTATAGGAGTTTGACAAATATAAAAAGTGCTTAAAAGCTGAAACTTGTATAAAATCAATTCTGCTTTTCTGTATGAAATCAAACAAGCAAACGGAGCTGGAAGCTGAAGTTAGAGGAGGCTTTGTTTTATCGGTTTCAACCGCAGAGTTCCTTTTACTTGGTGGGCCCAGGCACATGTACATTCTCTCAACTGAGAGGCCCAGAAAAGGAGCAACACTTTAATGTTTTAAAGGCTGAGAGCTGGAATGAGGCGGAACAGTTTCCCAGCCTAGCCCACTTCTCTTTCTCTCCCTCACCCTCTCTCCACATCTGCTGCACTCATGGCTCAGAGAGGAGAGGCCCCTTTCCAAGCCTACATTCTCCACCTCTTTTCCCTCCACCAGCACTGACTGTAGGAACTATCAAAACATTTTTTTTTTAAAGAAGGGGGGGGGGGGCTGAGGAGTAGGAGGAAGGGAGCAAGATCCCTTGTTGGTGGGCAATAAATCACAAACACTCAGACCCTCTTCAAAGCTCCCTTGAGCATGCAGAGCCCAAGTCCCTCACAAGGCCCCCACCCTGTACCCCGCGCCCGCTTCAGCCCCTCTACCAAGCCCCCGGCTCCGCTCCAGTCCTGATCCTTTTGCACAACATCCCTCACACCGGCCCTTTAGCAAACACAGGGGCTCTCTCTCCCTTACCCGCAACCTCAGGGCCCCTTCCCTCCCCCCTCTCTCTGTATCTCTCACAGCCCGGGACACAGAGACTTTTCTTCTCCCGGTGCTACATTCACACTCGCTCCAGGCTCAGCGCTGCCACTCTACCACAACACAGCCATTCAACACATGCTCCCTTTATGCAGTTCCTCGCTCACCCTGCTAGCCACAGCAAAGAATTTCACAATCGTACCACAGACGGGTAGAAACTAGAAACCTGGCAACTACAGCTGCTCTTTAGGTGAGCAGAAAGCTTCAGGCGCACATTCACGCAAGCCGCAGAATCTTTAAAAAGATGCAAGTTTTAATTGCAGTTCATAGCTGTGGCCTGAGGAGTAACATTGATTCAAATTTCAAAGGGACATTTTTACACGCAACCATCTTGAAATTCACAGAGCTTGAACGAAATGTGACGCGTCAGTGTTGCAATAGTGAGAACAAAAAAAATGTATTATTGCTTATAGATGCCTCGACATGTTTTCTTGTTGTTATCTTACATTAAAGTAATATTCTGACTTTTTGCTTGTTTGCAAGTGAGTTAAATAAAAGATCAATTTCATCTCTCCGTTTCTGCTACAGCAATTGATCAAATGTGTTTAGACAAGACATTTGATCGGTCTCTGTAGCAGATACAAAGAGATGAAATTAATCTTTAATTTTAATTTTGTGTAAGATTGCAAATGAAATGGGGCAACACTGCTTGGCTACATTTGCCAAAACTGCAAGAAATAGCTTCCATTAGCTCCAAAGTTGTTTTATTTTCATGCTGTAAATATGTGGGTCCAAATTAGGAATTTTTGAACTCCAGTATTTCTTTGCCAATAACCATATTGACTGCATCTGAAGAGTCCTGACCTCATACAAGTGTTGCTAAGTTAGTCGTAACTCTAATATGAACCCCCCCAAAAACGCTAGCCTAGCTGTTCCCCACAGGCTTACAGAGAAAAAGCAATTTTCCTTAATCACCAGCATACAGTGAGCTAATCATCTTTCTCAACACTGATAAGGGAATTATATTCCCTTAAGATGTGGCTTTGCAGAGAAGCACAGATGATATCCACTGATAACATGTGGCTGGCACAAGATGCTCTGGTGTACTAAAGCCTGGATACACGCCAGCGCCATTGTCCTCTGGGACTGAGCTTGGTTCACATTCAGTGCAGCTGGACAGCTACTTGTTGTCAAAGACTGCAACTCAGCAAAAATCAGCAAATTTCACACACTTTATTAACCTGAATCTGTGAGTTGTTTATGTTTTCGCTCAACATCTAGTCATCAACAGGGAGTCAGTGGACGACCAGAGAGGGATAGAGGAACAACTTAGTAAACTCCTTTCACTGATTAAGGCAAAGAGTTGCTGAAAGATCTGAAAAAACGGACCTTGCAACAAGAATTTGTCATACAATGAGTTGAACTGTTTATAATGTAAATTTCATGTTTCATTGACACAGCTGTCTCTTTCTTTCAGCCTTCACCTTGACTGTGAATGTGTCTGTGTCAAAACGGTGTTATTATTGATGTTGTTTCCAGCAGTTGAGTGCAGTGACAATAACCACAACAACATTTACCCCAAATCACAGAAAATCACGAAACGCTAGAATGCATTACAAAAAATCAGCAAGAAATCTGACTTAGTGCTTTCCTGTGCTGTAGTTTTGACAACAAAAGTTGCAACAAACTCTTTATACTGGATACCCAAATAGAAGAACCTTTAGGCTTAAAGAAAAAATATACCAGTTCTGTACCTGAATACTTAGAGCTGCAACTATGATTCTTCAATCAATTAGTAGATTGAATGTGTAATAAGTCTAAAGCAAAATATTCACTGGTTGCAGCTTCTCAAAAGTTTTTATTTTGTTTGTTTACTACTGGTCAAATGTTTGAAAATGTCATAATGGGAACAACTGATGGACATTTTTTACTATTTACTGACATTTTATAGACCAAACAATTACTCAAAAAAGAAAAAAAAAATGGTGGATTAATTGCTAATGAAAATTACTTGTTATACAGTTGTGCGGTCAGGTATTAAACTCACCTTGCTCTGAGTCGGAGTCTGTCTCCGCCTTAGAGGAGCCTGGAGCTACAGGTAAGGGTCTGAGAGGCCTTGGCTTGGGTGTGGGGGGAGAGATCCACTTCTTTCCAATGAACTCGACATATGTCCCTGGGAAGTCCCCTTTTTCCTGAGTGGTTTCATTGAAGCCTGGCAGCCAGCCAATCTCGTCTGGCCTCTGTTCCAGGCCATCCGTGTACCCAAGAGCCACCAGGGCGCCTTTGCTTACCAACAGTATGTCCCCTACATGCAGATTAATGTCCTCCTCCCTCTCCTTCACGTAGTCATATAGCGCTCTGTACTGATATCCTTCAGCACTCATAATGATCACTTTGTGTCAAGGTGTTCCTCTGAAGTTCAGCTTCAACCGGCAACGTTACTTTTCAGGTTTCTCTGATTATGTTTTTAGTCCAGGTACACATTTGCTAGTTCAAATGCTTGTGTGTGTGTGTATACTTCCAACAAAACTATAGTCTTTGACAGTTACAACAATATCTAGGTGGTCTTCATTCTTTTACCGTTCCTGTCTCTTCTAAACGATTTCCAGTCCTCTTGGTGTGTTGCCTCACAGTATGCACCCATCAATAAATGGCCTGCAGCTGTGATCTTGAGAATTATATCCAGACCTGTAAGGTGAGAATTAAGGCCATTTGTAACACGCTGCATAAGACAGTTACAGTATATCTGATGTACAATGCTCTGATGTGAACTAACAAAATACAGTCATAAAAAATATTTAAAAGTGTGATAGTTCTGCAGAAAAGCCATATTGGGTTTTTAGTGTATGGGCAGAAATATATATATATATATTTTTTTAGTTCATACATCCCCACATGCCAAGTGGGTAGCAGATAATAACGTTATTTGCCATGTTTTTAAATGAACAGTAACATTAACCCCCTTTCTTAAATATTTGCAATTTAATAGTTTATGGTGTCAGTGCACTACAGTTTCTCTTGGTGAAACTCGTATCAACTGGTACAAAGAGTACTGATGCAGTGCTGATTACTGACGCAGACTCCAACGCTGATAACATTTTGATGGTACATTTAACAGCACACTAAGCTGGGAGGTCGACTTCAGTGCTGTTCAGCCAACGGACTGCTAACATTAGCATTATCAGTGACAGCTTTAAGTTCACAAGGCTTCTGTAACTAAATAGCAACCCATTACTTTGATAAGTTTGCAAAACGTGTTGGCAGCAAACTTGACCATTTTAGAAAACGTTTTGCATGGTTGGGAAGCTACTCTACTTAAGTTTTTAGTCCAACAACGTTTCAGTGTCTGAAAAAACCCTTTGAGGGAGCAGGATGATACACAGTTAGCTAACGTTAGCTAGCTTCAGCTTGCTAACAAGGTCGACAGTTAATTAGTCATCTGCTGGAAGTTATTACATAAGAGTTTACTAATAGTTTTCGTAAAACAACTGAGGGTAAAGTAGTTAACGTTAAAAAAGTTAGACCAAAAACATATGCAAATTAAAAAAAAGGCAGCAAGTTAACGCAACTGTAGAAAGTAACGTTAACTTCAGTTTAACCTAAAGTCAGGAAAATGCAACTACCTTACACGTAGCTTCTTAAATGATCACTTTTTAATTAGCTCCAACGCCAACATGTGCGAGCTTGGACAGCAGTGACGTTAACTTAACGTTAACTTACATACCGAGTCTTCATGAATCCACAGGCGAATCCAACGAGTCCTCTGCCTTCCACACTTTAACGCTTCCACTTCGTTAAACTTCAGAGTTGCGTGGTATTATCAATAAAATGCAACCCTGATCAGATCATTTACCAGCACGATTGAGAACAAAAATCCTCCGCTTGCGTTTAATTCCGGTTTTACGAGCTTTACAAACTGTTACAGCTCACAGCCTGTCCACATAACGGCACGAGTTCCCACTCCTGAACAAAAAAGCTCCCCTGGACGTCGCCTCTCTGGCCAACAAGGGGACAAAGCACGGCCGCGGATTGGCCTGGCTCCCTGTCAATCATAACCGTCACTCATTCCGACCAATCAGATCCTCATTAGCAGGGAACACTCCCCCTCCATGGACCTTGCACGCAACACGAAACACCTATGGAAATTACATAACTTCTGCATGCAAACGAAATGTTCACCAGGATCCTTCAGGTTTTTATTACAAGCATCTGTTCCTCTCGACGGGGATTATTTTCACAGCTTTGTCATCCAGAGAAATGAGGGCAAGAGTAAATGTAAATGTGAATTAATAGGTTTGTTTTTTATTATTATTATCTTTTGCTCTGGTTTTGTCTCTCTGTGTGTGGCATGAAGGGACTACAAATGTACATTTCGTTATAAAACCTTGTGTTGTAAAGATACCATTAAATAAACCCTTGACCCCAATAAAAAGATATCACTGGAGAGGATATCAGAAGAACAAAAAAAACATTGTGTGATATTCCTCTTCTTTGTTTTCTAATTAAATAAACTATAACTGTATTGGTATAGTATTGTGCAAAATAAAATGATAGGCTATCTATACCAGAACACAGCAAGAAATTTAACATAAAAAGGAGTATGTTTTCTGTAACAACCTGGACAGCACGTAACCATGTTTTAGGTTATTTAATCAGTCCATACAGTTTTCCCTTTTTTCCCTCCTTTTTATAAATCATTACATGTTCTCAGTGTGGAAGGTCCCAAAATCTTACAGAGTCACCATCTGAAGTGCATGACTGTGAATGTGGGTGGCCTAATTATGGTAGGGAAACAGGGCTGGCTGGCAGAAATCCCCTATCAAGCATAAACCCAACTGTCCCGGCTGTGCTAAAAGAGGCTGTAAGCAGCTTTGTACACGGGTAGGCCCCTTTGACTGTTCTGCAGTCACATAGGCATTAGTGGACATCACCACTGAGAAAAGAGGAAGGAATGTAGAAAACAGGAGAATTGGTGGTGTTGAAATTAATAGTTACTAGGAACTTAAAACTTCTGCTGTGGTGCATTGGGAAATAAAAAAAATGCACTTTTGATCTCTTTCTATGAGTCACGTTGACATTTTTCTCCCTCCAAAAGCAAATATGCTGCAATTGTCACCTACCACAGTAAGCACATAGTTATGGTTGAATGCATTTCGTTCTATCATTACTCCACTTTTGTGTTTGCATTGACAGAAGTCTTTCTCCCTCTTAAAAGCCAGGACAAACTATATTGTATTTATATATATATACACTATATTTCTGCTGTAGATGATGAAATTTAATAATTGAACCACCAGACCATATAATCCCCCACTCTGCCAGCACTACACCTCGCCCCCCTTATTACATAGTCAGGCTCTAGCGACCCATCTGCTGCCCTGCAGATACCCAGACTACACCTCTGGTAGGATCTCACTGTTGCCTCACAGCAAAAAGGTCGTGGGTTCAAACCCCAGTTGCCCAGGCTTTTCTGTGTGGAGTTTGCATGTTCTCCCCGTGTCTGTGTGGGATCTGTCCTGGTGCTCCGGCTTCCTCCCACCATCCAAAGACATGCGGACTAGGTTAATTGGTTACCCTAAATTGTCCTTAGGTGTTAGCGTGAGTGGTTGTTTGTGTATGTGTGGCCCTGCGATGGACTGGTGACCTGTCCAGGGTGTACCCCGCCTTGCGCCCGATGTCAGCTGGGATTGGCTCCAACCCCCCCGCGACCCTGGTTGATGATGGATAACTAGCAAGTGCAAGTGTAAATGTTTTACGTGTGTGTGTCAAATTGTTTGACTAATGTTTAAAGTATTTTATTCTTACCCAGACAGTGTTTGCATGTTTATGCAAAGCTAAGAAGCAAGAAATACAAACTAAACAAGTATCCGAACACAGGGTAATTGTACACTGGATTTGTTTAATGTTTTGTGGTCATAACCTTAGCTAGCTTGGCACTTCCCGTTTTGTTTGGATTCAGCAAACAAGATAAAGTTCACATGTTAATTAGTGAACTTTATAGGTGCTGCTAGGTGGATTTTGTTACCTCTGGATAGAGCCAGGCTAGCTCCCACCCTGTTTCTATGCTAAGCTAACCTAACTAGCTGCTGACTGACTTAATTTTCAAATATGAGAGTGGTTTCAATCCTTCTCCCTTTCAATGTTTCTAATTCACTGCAGACATAAGTATTTTTCCTTGTAGAAATCCTAATAATTTTCTTTTAAAATAAATATTCTTGAACTGTTTGAGTAGGCTACTTGAATAATTCACTAGATAAGCACTTTTAGTTGACATACGTTTCATTTCACAGTATTTGAGAAATCCACCATACTGTGAGACCCTTTCAGCTTTTATCATGATAATTTTCAAAGAGTGAAGTGCACTCAGACAACCTACTATGCTGAGTACACCTACTATATGAGTATTTCAAAATAGAATGAAATAGGTCAACAAACTCATAATGCAGAGTAATATTTAAAATAATGTATTTAAAATCTAGCCTAAAGTTAAATGATATACTGCATATGTACTAACGTAAACATCACAGGATTACATGTATACAAACCTAGAAATGTAACGTGAGCACTATTCCTTTTACGTATGCGGAGAAGCATGCAGAAAGATTATTTCATCATATTTACATATCTTCACTCTTCAGTACAACATTGCAAGTTCTTTATAGCATGAGAATGTGTGACATGTTAAAAAATGTCTAGTGTAAAAACAGATTTCTTCTTTTCCAGAATCTGGTAAAATGGTTTTGCTTTGGGGAGTGGAGCACTGAATGGGCTCTCAGACGCTGAATTAAAGCTCCAGGTACATAACAGAGGCTTCCTTTCATGTTTTAACAGTGGGACCTACTTTTTAAATCCATTCACACATTCTGTGTAGATTGGGCCCCTTAAACCATTAATCTATTCAGTGTTTTCAGGGTTATAATAATGGCTAACTTTAGCGTGTAGAGCTCTCAGGCTCCAAGCGTTTTATTCCCCCCACCTCTCTCCATTCATGTGAATGTGTATGATTCTTTTACTTTTGTAAGAAAGCTGAGGATTCACACATGGGTAACCCCATAATGCTTACTAACATCAGATGAAACAACGCCTATTTAAACAAAACCACCTCCTCCTTATGCTTTGGTTCCCTGTCACCACCACAGGAATACTCTTTCTCATCCCATAACTCGCCTACCTTTCAACTGCACTGGAACATTTACTTGTTCAGTGTTTCATTATAGTTTTATATTGAAGTGCCCATTATCCAGTGAGAGGAAGGTAATGAAATCCCATTTTTGAATTAATATACAACCAGAGAGCATCTCATCTCAACCCAGTTGGCTGAAACACTCATAATGATTAGTAATTACATATTCATCATAGCATATTTTTCATCAGCGTGCATTAAATATGTGCTATTTAGACATTACTGAGAGCTGTTCACATGTTCTTACAGCTAAATTATTACATGCTTAATCAAATCAACTGCACAGAAAGTGTTGAGAGATGAATTGGGTTCAGTTTCAGTTGTGTAACAATGAAATCCATATGTTCTTTGCAATTAAAGATGTGCAAGAAAAAGGTAATTTTATAGCTATAGATGTGATGTTTTAAAATTAACTTTAAAACGCTTGTTTCTGGCACTCAAAGGTTTCCACCCAGTGTGACTCCCAAAGTGTAATTTACAGTGTCTGGAATTAGATTTTTATTAATGAAACATTTCTCTGTACTTGATGGCTTTCTGCTGCTAATTCCACATCCTGCAATTCAAAGAATCCTCAGCAAATTCTTCTACACAAGGCACATACTGGCCCATGTGCTAACATTCCTCTAGTATGAAAGAACACTTCTCTCTACTCAACCATCAACTCCTCAGATGCGGCAGACAATGACCTTTTTCACTAGACTAGTCCATAAATCATTTATTTTCAACATGAACCAAGTGTTTTTTTGGCCTATAAATTCCTACATGCGTTTAAAGAACATACAGACATATTGTAGAATAGTAGGGTTTTGGCTACAACAGGAGCTGCATATGCCTGACAATCAGAAAGTAGCTTATCAATTAATGTGCATCTGAGGTCAGCACGGATGTGGAAAGTGCTAACAACATGTAGGAAGTATATAATTACAGTATATTGCACATCTTTGTGATCTGTGCACACCATTTGTACCATTTTGTACCCAAAGTTTATTATGAACTTCCAAATCTGCATTTCCTCATTTTAAAATCTATTGTTGCAGTAATTGTTTGGGGGTTAGGTTTAAATACAAAACATACACAACATATTTTAAGGTAATGTGATGAATGTGTAAGGAAACAGAAGCCTGTTTACACATCTAGGAGACATGGAGCAACATTAGCATTAATTTGGATCGTGTTTCTGGCCACCTAGCCAAAAGGCCAATATTTACTTTCATCATAGCTCTGGTTTGATCTGCACCAGCTCTTGCTTTGGGCGGGTAGCGTACAATCCGTTTTTTAAGCTTTTGCTGTAGGCAGTTTTTGGCTGCATCTGGAAATAATGCTGATGAGAGCTGTGACAGTGAACCAAAATAAATGAGCTGAAAGATGCTAATACGCTGTCTGTAACAATTCTAATAATAACAATATGAGCGACACCTTTCACAATATAAAAATATATAAAAATATTTATCATAACAACTTTAACTTGGGCTAATATTGAATATAGTCATTGTCTGATATGTTGTGTATAATATATGTAGTTTGCATTGATTCTCATTAGATAGCCACATTTTTGCACTCGTATTCACTATGGGAAATTTAAACATTTTGAAGGTTAGTTATGAGGTCAGAATGTGTGGACAACATAGAATCAACCACAAGACAATACAGTGAGTCAAATTTGGGCACAGGATACATTTGTTGTAACTGTATCTTCTACCTTTGCAGCATAAAGCTGGTGGGGTATTTCTGCAGATGCGAGCAGGTTTGTGTGTGGCTACCTTTGCCCCTGTCACATTATTTTTTATGCTG